AAAAAAAAAGCATTAAAGAAAAATGACTAGGCCCCCCGGGGACGCTGTGGAACAATCCAAGTCAGTCCACCCTAGAAGTCGTGGGATTTCAGAGCAGAAAAAGCAAATGAGACAGAGAAGTCTTTGCAAAAATAAATAAATAAAAATGACCCTAAATATACCAAAGTTAGAAAAAGACATTGTCTTACAGATCCAAGAATTTCAATGAAGTCCAAGCAGAATAAAGACGAGAAAATCACTCTCAAGGCACAGTGCAGGAAGAAGAATGAACTCCAAAGATAAAGAGGCAATTTTGAAAAAAAGCTCCATAAAAATGACACTTTACATAAAGCAAAACACTGATATGAATATGAGCTGACTGATCACAGTGGGGGTGGGGTGGAATGGTGACTCGTATTTCTAAGGTGCTAAAAGAAAAAGGGGGAAAAAGTCCATTTGGGATTTTACGACCTGCGAAGATATCCTTCAACAATGAAGAACATTTTCAAGTAAAACAAGTTGAGATGATTTACGGTGAGGTGAGCCGGCCACAAGGAAGGGTAGAGGAAGCTCTGGGGGCTGGAAGGAAATGAGAGCAAATGGAAAGAATGAAGAGGGTGAAATGCTGTCTTAGAACAACAAGGTAAAGGAGGGGCACTGGGAATGTGGAGGCTGAGGCGGAAGAGGAAAGGCTCAGGACAGACCCTGAAAGATGGATTGATTGATTGATTGTTGATTGATTGACTTGGCTACCACCCCCAAATCTGTCTCATTCAGGCCCGGAGCAATGAAGTGAGCCTTCTATGGACTGAGACCTCTGAAGCCATGAGCCCCAAACGAACTTCTCCTCTTCTACTATTGTTGTTGCGGGTCTTTTGGTCGCAGTGGTGCACAGCTGACGGAAACATCATCTGAGAAGGGACGGACACCCAGAATGCATCCAAGGAGCTCAACCCAGCGGTAAAAAACAATCTGGTTCCTTCAATGGACAAACGATGGGAGCAGACATGTGTCAAAGGAAGGTCTACACATTGCCAACAAGTGCGTGAGACGATGCTCAGGCCCCGATCATCAGGGAAATGCAAATGGAAGCCGCCATGGGACACCACCTCACCCTAGTTAGAAGAGCTGCCATCAGAAAGAAAAAGGAACAACACTGGAGAGTTCAGAGAAGGGGAGCCGCACACACTGCTGCAGGTGGGGATGTAAGAACAGAGCCGCCTCCTGGGGTGGTGGGCCGCCACTGGTGCAGACCCAGAGGACCCCAGGAAACATGTCGAGGAGTCGCCTGCACCCGCGTGCTTATTGCGACGCCGACAAGAAATCAAGTTAGGTGTCCATAAGCAGTGGAATATTATTCAGCCGTCAAAAGAGCAGTGAGAATGAGGGCAGAGAGGACATTGTGGGTCCTGGTGAGGACTCCCACAGCTTTCCCCCGGGAGCCACCGGAGCCTTTTTTTGTTTAATTTGCTTTTATTCCTCTCCAGAGCCTGCCAGTACCCCATCTCCCTTCACTTACCATATCCCAGCTTTCCTGCTCCGCTTCCATTGCTGAGACTCACCTTGTCCTCTCTTGCCTCAGGGCCTTGGCACATGCTCCGCCCTCTGACCTCACACCCTTCTTTCCCCTGCCTTTCGTTTTCAAACTCCTTCTTGACTTCTCAGTGTAGATCTCACTTTGTCCCCCAAGCCTTCCCTGGTCACCTTAACTAAAGCCGGGCTCTCCCCTGGGAACTTTTTAGAAATGAAGGGATTGCGATGGGCAGCCACGTCTACATGATTCACATCCTTCCTCTCCCGTCCCTAGTGATCCCTGAGTTCTGTCAAAATGAGGCCCAGCGTGTGGGGCCGGCTCACCAGCTCCCAGTGCCCAGTAGGTGGTCAATCAGTGATTGGAGGGTGGATTAAAGGTAATCTCCTGCTGGGCGCCGTGGCCCTTGCAACCCAGGAGGCTGAGGCAGGAGATTCACAAGTTTGAGGCCAGTCTCAGCAACTTAGCTAGATCCTGTCTCAAAAAAAATCATAATTTTTTTTAAAGGGGCTGGGGGTGTGGCTCAGTGGTTAGGTGCCTCTGGGTTCAGACTCTGGTACCAAAAAAAAAAAAAAGCAATCTTTGCCACTGGAAGGTGGATTCTCACCCATTCCACCTAGAAACACACCGTGAGCTGGGTGCCAGACACCACCCCACGCGCTGGGCCCAGGGTGGGCCTCAGGATTCCAGGATTCCACACCCACCTCAGGTGCCAGACACCGCCCCACGCGCTGGGCCTCAGTGGGCGGACCTGAGAGGCAGGAGGAAGCTCTTCCCGGGAGGTGACCCAGGAGGGCAGCCTCCCTGTCACCTCCCTCTGTGCACACCTCAACCGACAGCACCTGTGCCTGAGACCCCTCCCAGCAAACCCCGGCCCCTTGTCACCCACCGTGTCCACCCACCGTGTCCACCCACCGTGTCCACCCACCGTGTCTGAGGGTGGGAGTGGGGTCCAGGGCTCCGCCTGCCTCCGACGTCTGCTCCCCGCAGCTGCCAGCCAGGAGCCCAGGTTGGGAACAGGAAGCAGCTACTGAATTTGTGGGGACAGATAAGGGTTCAGGAGAGTCTTGAGCAAGAGCTCCGGTGGCCCCAGAGATCAATATCAGAGTGTGCGAAGGGCCTGACCCTAGATGTGGGTCCCGATAGGCTTAGGGCCTGGGGGCGAGCCGGGTCCCTCCAGCTCCGTGCTCTGCCTTCCTGGCGTGCTGAGGTGAGTTCAGCTGTGCAAAGCACTGACAGCCCCCTGGCACAGAGCCCGTGCCCAAG